CTCGGCTGCCCGTGACCTGAGCACCCCCAGGACAGCACAGAGGGTGGGAAGGGGAGGGCAGGGCGCTCACACATAGCTCAGGTGGTGGCTGTTTGTCCTTCCCTCGTGGCAGACACGCAGCCGGGGCTCGCGGCTCAACATCATCATCATCGCCGAGGGCGCCATTGACCGCAGCGGCAAACCCATCTCCTCCAACTACGTGAAGGACGTAAGGGACTGCCCCGGCACCACCCTGGCACCCACAGACACCGGCGGGTCCCCAACGTGGTGTCTCCTCTTCCCCATAGCTGGTGGTGCAGCGCCTGGGCTTCGACACGCGAGTCACCGTCCTGGGCCACGTGCAGCGCGGAGGGACCCCGTCCGCCTTCGACCGCGTGCTGGTAGGTGCAGGGGGGGACACAGAGAGGGGGAACCCTGCTCCTGCCATCCCTCTGCCCAATGGAAAGGGGTGAGGCTCAGATGGGCTCAGCCCTGCACCCATTTCTCCTCATTTACTCCAAATTTAATGGATTTTTAAATAAACCCATCAGCTCTCCAGCAGTGAATCAGCAGCCACATAGTTTCCAAGGCTGTTGGGAGTATCCCTGAGCATCCCACCCAGCTGGCACTGGTGGCCCCAGTGTCACAGGTGTGCCCATGTCCCTTTGCAGAGCAGCAAGATGGGGATGGAGGCGGTGATGGCGCTGCTGGAGGCCACACCAGACACCCCAGCCTGCGTGGTCAGCCACTCTGGGAACCAGTCGGTGCGGCTGCCACTCATGGAGTGTGTCCAGGTGGTGAGTACCAGGGAAGCTGGCTGGGGGTCTCACTCCCCTCCCTGTGAATGTGGGTGTTATGGTGCTGCATCTTTCTCCCTCCTCCAGACAAAGGATGTGCAGAAGGCCATGGATGAGAAGAGGTTTGACGAGGCCATCCAGCTCCGTGGAAGGTGAGGAGCAGGGACCAGGACCAGGGGAGACATCCATCTTGGATAGGGGCTTCTCCTTGTGAGGAAGCTGTCCCCAGTCACACCCCAGGGGCAGTGGGGAGACTTCCCCTTCTCCCAGACGTGCCTTGGGGACCCATCACCGTGTCCTTGCAGGAGCTTTGAGAACAACTGGAACATCTACAAGCTTCTGGCTCACCAGAAGCCGGCTCAGGAGAAGGTGAGGGGTGACGGGGAGCAGGAGGGTACACCATTCCTCCTCTGGGGACATGTGGGGATGTGCTGTTCCCATCCCTGTCCCGGCAGAGCCCCTTTAGCATGGCCATTCTGAACGTGGGAGCGCCGGCCGCCGGCATGAACGCTGCGGTGCGCTCGGCCGTGCGCATCGGCATCTGCCAGGGACACACCATCTATGTGGTCAATGACGGCTTCGAGGGCCTGGCCAAGGGGCAGGTAAGGGACACCCTGGGCCTGGGATGTCCTGGAGGATGGGACTGGGCTTGGGGATGGGGGTTCTTCCCACCCTAACCTGTGGCTGGTGCCCGCAGGTCCGCGAGGTGGGCTGGCATGACGTGGCAGGATGGCTGGGCCGTGGTGGCTCCATGCTGGGCACCAAGCGGTGAGTGCAGCCCTGGGCAGGGGGACATAGGGAAAGGGTGTCCCCACCATCCTCACCCCACTGTCTGCCCCCCTTCCCCACCACAGGACGCTGCCTAAGACCTGCATGGAGAAGATCGTGGAGAACGTGCGCAAATTCAACATCCAGGGGCTGCTGGTCATTGGGGGCTTTGAGGTGAATCAGTGGGGACCGGGGTGGCTGTGGGCATCCTAAAGAAATCCTTCTGGCATGCAGACCTGGCTGCAGGGAGGGCCAGCATTTCCCAATCCTTTGGCCGCCTGCAGGCGTACGAGGGGGTGCTGCAGCTGGTGGAGGCACGCGGGCAGTATGAGGAGCTCTGCATCGTCATGTGCGTCATCCCCGCCACCATCAGCAACAACGTGCCCGGCACCGACTTCAGCCTGGGCTCCGACACGGCTGTCAACGCCGCCATGGAGGTGAGGGACACCAACAGGGACAGCTCACCGTGCTCCACCACCTCCATCACAGCCTGGAGTGGCCAGTGTCCCATGGAAGGTGGCTTTCCCTGGTGTGACCTCCCCTTGTTTGGGCGCAGAGCTGTGACCGCATCAAGCAGTCGGCCTCGGGCACCAAGCGCCGCGTGTTCATTGTGGAGACCATGGGGGGCTACTGTGGGTACCTGTCCACGGTCACCGGCATCGCCGTGGGCGCCGACGCCGCCTACGTCTATGAGGATCCCTTCACAATCCACGACTTAAAGGTGGGCGGGCAGGAGAAGGAAAATTGGAGAAGGGAGGGCTCCAGAGCAGGGCAGGAGCTGGAGGACATGGCCGTGCTGGGTTGATGTCAGGACAGGAGGGCTGTGGGATGGCTGCTGGCATCTTGGTGTTCATCCTGCAGGCCAACGTGGAGCACTTGACTGACAAAATGAAGACGGATATCCAGAGAGGGCTGGTGCTGCGGTGAGTTGGGGGCACCTGGGGACAGTCACTGCAAACCCCAGCCCCATGGCAGGGAGCAAGGCTGGAGCTGAGCCCTTCCCGTGGCCAGAGAGGGGTCCTGGGCATGGTGAGGTTTGGCACTTGGCCTTGGGGACACTGGGTGCCTTCACTGCCATCCCCACCCTAGCCCCAGGGTCGTCCTGGAGACACAAACTGAGGCTCTGGGCCTCAGGGAGGAAAAAACACCACAAAAAAGGTCTTATGGGAAACAAAGGGAGACCCCCTGGTCATGCCAGGGGAAGGAGCAGCCCCCCAAACCCTTCCTCTGCTCCCCAGCAATGAGAAGTGTCACGAGCACTACACCACCGAGTTCCTCTACAACCTTTACTCCTCCGAGGGCAAAGGCATCTTTGACTGCAGGATCAATGTCCTGGGCCACCTCCAGCAGGTACAGAGGGACAGGGTACAGGGTGGCAAGGGCCCTGCTGGCCCTGAGAGCTGGGCAAGGCCTGACATCCCCATTTCTTTGTTCCCAGGGGGGAGCCCCGACCCCCTTTGACCGGAACTATGGGACCAAGCTGGGAGTGAAGGCGGTGCTGTGGATGTCAGAGAAGCTGCAGCAAGTCTACAGCAAGGGTGAGCCGAGGGCTGGGGATCCCACAGGGGGTAGGGAAGGCTGGTGGCTGCTGCTCCAGGCTTCCAGGCTTGGTCCCCAGTGTGATGGCCAAGGTCAGCAGTGTCCTTTTCCCAGGACGTGTGTTTGCCAACTCTGGAGACACTGCCTGTGTGATCGGGCTGCGGAAGAAGGTGGTGGCCTTCAGCCCTGTGACAGAGCTCAAGAAAGTCACGGATTTTGAGTAAGTCCCCATGCCCCAGCGGTTCACTGGCTCCTGGGGGAACCTTCCTGGGGTGTCTGCTCCAGAGCTGTGTCCCCTGCACAGGCACAGGCTGCCCCAGGAGCAGTGGTGGCTGAACCTACGGCTGATGCTGAAGATGCTCGCCAACTACCAGATCAGCCTCACCGAGTACATCTCAGGCCAGATGGAGCACGTCACCCGGCGCACCCTCAGCATCGAGAAGGGCTTCTAGTCCCACCAGCCTGGCCCACAGCCCCCGCCATGTCCTCTCTGTGCCCACATGCTGCTGGGGGAGCACTGTGTCCCCTCTGTTCTCAGTAGCCCTGTAGCTTTGCCATCGACCCCTTACAGCAGGCAGAGCCTGGTGCTGTGTCCCAGAACAGCACAATCACTGCTGCGGGTTCTGGTCCCTGTGCAGATGCAGAAGAGTTGCTTGAGCCAGCAGTGCAGCCCAGACCCTTAATCTTCCCTTAATAGTTTATTATTATTTAATCTTGGGGTATTTTGAGTCCTTATTTAGCGGCTTGACCGCCTGAGCCAGCTGCTGCTGCTTGTAGTCGCCTGCCCCACGTGCGGGATGGGAGCGAGGAGGATGCAGAGCCATTCCAGAGTGGGTTGGAGCGGTTCCGTGGAGCTTCTGGGTGTCCCTGTGGAGCTCCATCCCCCGTGGGGGTCTCGAGGGCTGAGCACGGGGGTCCTGGCGAGCCCCTGTCCCCTTGCATGACGCTTGGCTGCGACCGTCACCGCGTGGCTGTGGGCGCCGTGTCCATCACCTCACCCTGGATCCTGCACCGCCCGCAGCACTGCTCCTCTCCTCTAGAGATAAAACCTGCTGGAGCCAAACCTGCCTCCTGGAGTGGTCATTGTGGGGGCAGCGGGTGGCAGGACAGGGCTGGGGTGGGGGGAATAGCAAAGCCTGATGGGTTTCTCAAGCTGGTTTAATGTTGGGCTATTCCAGCCTCCCACCCCGGGACAGGCTGCACTGTGGATTGCTCAGTCTTTTATGGGGACAGACTCCCGAAATCCCAAGCGCTCTTAGCTGCTGGCAACCTTAGCAAGCTTAAGGGATATCAGCTCATTTAGTGATTATCAATCAGCCCTTTGTGATTCTAGCTCCTAGCTTGCAAGGTACTGCAGGCAGGCCTGCAGACTCAGGGCAAGAGAGGACAAGGCTATTCTGGCATTCCACAGTGATGTCTTTATTGGATGTTCTGCAAAGGGTTCCAGTGACAGCTCTTCTAACCAGAATGGGCTAAAGCAGCTCATTATGTAGGATATAGGGGGATCCAAAATTGTCCAATAGCAGGGGTTAAGGAGAAGTGACCTATGGGGTTACAGAGAGATAAGCTGGGGTCAGAAATGTGGAAAACGAGCTTGCCATGACTTGGCATTTCTTATCTTCAGGCCTCTGCCTTCCATGGGGCCCTAGCAGGCCCTGTGCCTGCTACATTGGGCCAAGACATTCCCTGGTTTTGTGCATCCTCAAAGCCTGGGAGAGTGGGACCACAGGCGGCTTTTCCTCCCTGTCCAAGTTGTGGTGCGTGCAGGGTCAGCATCATTTCGCAACCGCTTTGCGATTCCAGAGAAAAATCACTGGGTTCCCACCTCCAAGGAACCACCCAAGTGCTTTAGGGTGGTGCTGTGCTTGTTTGTGAGGCAGTTTCTCACACTTCAGGCCAAGCGTGCCGGCCTGGCCGAGCTCTGCATGCTCAGGCTGTGCCAGACGGTCACAGGGAGCTCCTTTCCCAGGCCACTTCCCTCCTGGGGCTGCTGGCTGACGGCTCCAGCCTGTGGGACCACATCAGCATGCATCACAGCCTTTGGGGTCAAGCATTTTGTCCTCCCCATGGAGCTGTCCCCAAGTGAAAGTTCCCCCTGACTTGCCCCCTGCCTTTCTCTGATGGAGTCACTCCGTCAGTGGGCAAGGGAAAGGTTGTGGATGACATTTATCCTGGTTTCTGTACAGCCTGGACACAATCCCACCCAACATCCTTCTCTCTGCATTGGAGAGCGCTGGGTTCCGTGGATGGGCTGTCAGATGGATCAGGGATTGGCTGGATGGTCACATCCAGAGGTTCACAGTGGCCATCAGTGACCAGTGGTGTCCCAGGCTCTGTGCTGGGACCAGTGATATTTGAGGTCTCCATCACTGGCACAGAGGGGTCGGGCACCCTCAGCAGGTTTGCAGGTGACACCAGGCTGAGGGTGCAGTGACAGTGACACTCCCGAAGGACAGGGCCATCCAGAGGGCCCTGGAGAAGCTCCAGAAGGGACCCATGGGAGTCTCCTGAGGTTTGACAGCACCAAGTGCTGGTGCTGCCCCTGGGTCAGGGCAACGCCTGGGATCAATCCAGGCTGGGGATGAGCAGAGGGAGCAGCCCTGGAGAAGGCCTTGGGGCTGCAGGTGGTGAGGGCTGGCCATGCCCCCTGCCAGGACCCCCCCTGTGCTGGGCTGATCCCAGGGTGGGCAGCAGGAAAGGGGTTGGGATTGTGCCCCTCTGCCCTGCTCAGGTGAGACCCCACCTGCAGAGCTGCCCCAGCCCCGGGGCCCAGCACAGGAAGGAGCTGGAGCTGCTGGAGAGAGCCCAGAGGAGGCACCAGGGTGAGCAGAGGGATGGAGCAGCTCTGCTGGGAGGAAAGGCTGGCACAGCTGGGACTGTTCACCTGGAGAAGCTGTGGGGTGACCTCACTGTCAGTACCTGAAGGAGCCAACAAGGAAGCTGGAGAAGGACTTTGGACAAGTGCTGGAGTGACACACCAAGGGGGAATGGCCTCCCACTGCCGCAGGGTTAGATGGGATATTGGGAAGAAATTCTTCCCTGTGAGGGTGCTGAGGCTCTGGCACAGGGTGCCCAGAGCAGCTGTGGCTGCCCCTGCATCCCTGGAAGTGTCCAAGGCCGGGATGGACAGGGCTTGGAGCAACCTGGGCTAGTGGAAGGTGTCCCTGCCCATGGCAGGGAGTAGAATGAGATGGACTTCCAGGTCTCTTCCCACCCAAAACCATTCCGTTATTTCAGTGCTTTTCCCCTGACTAAACACATTTTAGGCTCTGGAGGAAGATGGTGACTTTTATCTCCTCCCTGGACCCATAACTAGGAGACCTTGCTGATGGAGGCAGCATTGCTGCTCTTGTAAATCAACAACCTGCTTTGGAGACCCCAGGCAGAAACCTGGCCTGTCCTGGAGCTGGGTGGGAAAGGGGCTCTTCCACTCTCCCATGTGCCACTCCACTTTGGGGGAGCCCCAGCCCACTCCTTCCCTCCCTCAGCCATGGCCCTCACACCTGCCTCACCAGCAGCCTCTCAGTCTCTGAGGGTGGTTTGAAGGGAACAGCTCAGTACAGCTGCTGGCATTTTCCAGAGCTGGAATCATCTGCATTCACCGCTCGATATTCCCGGCTGAGGCAGGGCAGGGTGACAGCAGGTCATGTGGAAAATCTGTCTGCAGCACTGCCCTGCAGCAAACAGGTTTAGGGTGTGAATGGGGAGAGGGCTCCGACCAGCTGCATGTTGAGGGACAGGAGTCACTGCAGCCCCCACACCTCATTTCCACCAAAAAAAATACCTGGAGGGCCAAATTCCTGGGAGAAAAGGGACAGGCATAGCCACTGAATTCCGAGGATGAGCAGGACGGGCATGACTGTGCTCCCAGATTCCCAGCACATCCAGCCCACCCTGAAGAGAGGGCAGAGCAAGCCTCCAGAAGCATCCTGCAGGGGAAGGCAGGCTGCCAGGGCCCTGGAGGGGCTGAGCTCCCGCTGGGGTTTGCTGGGATGCTGCAAGGAGCAGTTGGGAGCCCCGAGGGCAGCACCAGCAGCAGCCAAGGATGATGAGCACGTAGGCAAAAAACAGCCCAGCTTCTCCAGGAATTGTGTCAGTGTGGCCTCAAGGGCACAGTGATTGCTCCACCGGCCCCATGACTGGGTCCTGATGGACACTTCCTCTGATCACTCACATCCCAGAGAAGCTGGGGGTCCAGCTCACCCCAACAGCAACTCCCTTGTTCCTTGACATGGACAAGCCAGGGGCCTGGGAGAAGACTTGCACTCAGCAGGGTGAGTGTCCCAGGCCCCAGATGTCAAAGTCTGGGACATCATAAATCACACAAGTGCAGCTGGGTTTAACGCAAAAGGCAAGAACAAAGGTCTTTAGAGGAGTTAAAGACATCAGCAAATCTCCCCTTGAGTGATGAGGGTCAAGCTGTGCCTGTTCCCACCAAGGTCAGGCAAACAGGCTTGTGGACACAAGCAGGCTGTCACCATCCCTGAGGAGCATTCCTTCCTGGTACCACAGCCTGGACACTGCTCAAACAGTGACAGGGGGCCATGGAACAGCCACGTCACCAGTGCAGCACTGGGAGACACAGAGGGCTTGTGTCCTGTATCTCAGGGCCACACCCTGCCCAGGTGGCTCTGCACTGAGCTTTCCTCAGCACCTCTTTTGCTGCCTGCCTTTGCTGTGGCTGCAGGAAGGCTGTAAGGCAGCCCAGTGGCCCTGCAGGCAGTCCTGGGAGCAGGCTCACCGTTCCAGAGGCGCAGTGAAGCGGGAAGGCACAGCCCTCCTCCTCCTCCACAGGGCTCACAATGCACTCCCTGAACCAGAGGTAATGGAGCAGTGCCCCCAGCCAGGCCTCTGCTGAACGCCAGCCACCACTCACACAGCCTTGAGGGATAATTGGGTTTATTTGGTATGTCACAACAGTTTAGTTTGTTCTTAACAGCTCTACAAAACTTGGTAAACGCAGTTTTATCAGTTAAAGAGCAACACCCGCCCCTGATGCCTGTGCAAAGCAGGCAGAATGCTCAGGGCCTTTTAACTGGGATGTTTCTTTAAGCCGCTCTAATGCCTGCAGGGAATGCTGGGGTGAGAGTACAGCTGAGCATTCAGGATGTGGGAGTCATTCCTGGTTCACCTAGGCTGCTCTGAGCTTCCCTTTGGGCTGCCTGACCGGCAGGCACTGCATGCACCAGGAAGGACCTGAGGAAGTCAGCCAGGAGCTGGAAAATAAATTAATAACTGAACATTGACCTTCAGCACCTGCACAGACAGGTCTTGGTGACCATCTCAGGCAATGTCTCCCTGTCAGACTCTACCAAATCAAATCTCTGAGGTCCAAACTGCCCTCAGAGGTGCTGTGCAGAGTCTCTCCCAGCCATCAGCAGGCTCTGCTCCCCTCGGATCACACAGCACCTCTGGCTGCAGCCCTGCTCCCTTCTGCCTTGCTGATTTGCCTGCAGCTGCCACCCAAGAGTCCCAGCCATGCAGGGCACAGTGTCAGAGCCTGCTGCACTGGCAGGAAATCTCCAGAGAAGCAGCATCCCATGCCAGGCCCGAGGCTTGGGCTGCAGCCAGGGGTGTGGGCAGGACAGCACCGAGGGGCTGGGGCTCCAGGGAGGCTGGAAGGGGGATAGCTGCTGTCACTCCTCCTGCAGCTCCTTCTTCTGCAAGGCCTGGAGCCTCCTGGCCACCGTCTGCTGGATGATCTCCAGCTCCTCTGCGTCCAGTTCCTTCATGAGAAGCAGGATGGCATCCAGGACGTTGTTCTGCAGGGATAAGGCACACATTGCTTTGGACCAGCCAGCCAGGACAAGGACACTCCATTTTCCCTGCTCTTTCTAGGAACTACTCCTCCACCAGCACCACCACCACGACCCGGCAGCAGTTTGGAGCAGCCACCTGCAGCCACAGCCGAGCCCTCGGGGCAAACACAGGCAGGGAGAGGCACGTGATGAGGCTGGAATGCAGGACAAACCCATCCTCTGCTCTGCCCACAGCCTCTGGCTGCCGGCCACGCTCCAGCCTGCCTTTTGGCAGGAAAGGCACAGCCAGGAGCAGCTGCACTCGCTCTCAGTGTGTGCAGGATGGGAAAGGACAGCCCTGCTCTGAGGAATGAGGAGAGCTGCTGCTCTCTGCAAAGGACCCTTGAAACTCCCCAGCCCTGCCACCACCACAGGACCAGCGCCAACACCAGCTTGTCGCTCTGTCAAATCATGTCCTGAAGAACTCCAGGGAGAGATTCCACTGCCTAAATAGCTGTCCTTCTAGCGAGAATCTTTTGCCCAACATCCAACCTGAACCTCTTCAGCTGCAATGGGGTGCTACTTGCCCCATTTTTAAAGGTCAGAGCTTGTGGTGCTACTCTAGGCAGCTATGGCAGAGTGAGGCAGTGTGGGTTAGATCTTGCTCTGCTGATTGATGCAATGGCACCGAGTCCAGCACTCTGCAATTCCCAGCTGAACCAGATTCATCCAAGGCTACATGACGGAGGGGGCTGAGGAACCGTTTAAGCTTCCTGTTCAGCAGCCACTGCCCAAGGTCTGACCTCCTCTTGCTAAAGAAACACTTCCTAATATCTAGTCTGCACCTCCCCTGGCACAGCTTTGAACCATCACCATGTCTCCTATCACTAGATCCCAAGTAAAACAGCTCAGCACCCCTACCCCATATCCCCTGCTCAGGAAGCTGCAGAGGGGCATGAGGTCACCCCCTGGCCTCCTTCTCTTCAAATCAAACAAACCCAGAGCCCTCAGCTGCTCCTGGACATATCTTCCAGCTCTGTTCCCCTCCTCTGGGGACATCCAAAGTTCTTCACATCCTTCAACACTGGGGCTCAGCCCCGTGTACAAGGAAAAGCAATTTGGTCTTTAAAGATACTCACACTTTTCTTGCAACTGCAGTCTGTCTCTTGAGTGGAAAAGGAGGAGTATTTATCCCTGGGAACAAGCTTCATATCAAGCTCATCCTGAGTTTTGCTAAAAAAAAAGGGAGGAAAAGCAAATGTTATTATGACCAGATGGGAGGCCAGGCACCCATGCAAGGAGTACCCAGCTGAAGGACCCCAGGGAATGGACTGGAGCTCCCAGATCAGAGAGGATCCAGCTCTGCCTGCACATGCAGCTGATGAGCCCAAGCCACCCCCACAGCAGAACCAGCCCCACAGAACCAGCACAGCTCCACTGCAGCAACCAGCACAGTGGGAAGCAGCACCGGCCCCTGGAACGTCAGGCTCCTTTCCTGCTACACACAAATTCAGCACCCCAGCCATGCTGGCAGCTGCCCAGCCCTCACCTGGTGTCCTCCAGGCAGCAGCTGAGCAGCTGGCTCTGGGGCTCCGTGGTGGCTCCAGCGGTGCTGGACCAGCCGTTCTCCACGGGGCTGCGGGCCGGTGGCGCCGTGATCTCCACGCCATCCACCAGCGCTTGCGACAGCTCCTCCTCTGTCACAGCTGCAAGGGACACAGCAAGTGCCTGTTGCTACCAACTGCAGCAGCCCAAGGGGATGGCACCTCTAGCAGGGCAGGTTCTGCTGCTGCAGAGAGTGCAGGAGAATGCTGGAAGCAATCACCAGCCTCCCAAAGCGAGAAGGGTACCAGGGAGGGATGCAAACGTGCTTTACTATTTCTTGTCTCTGGAGAAGGCTCCAAAAGCAACCAAATTTCTGCTACTGGATGGAAGGAAAAAAAAAAACAGAGAAGCTCTTCTACAGCAGCAGATCCAGTTATAGAACCTTTGTCTGGCCACAGCAAAGAGAGAGCTCTAAAAACCACTAATTAGTGGTACTGTCCAAGCTATAATGAGGCACTCAGTTTTGTTACCATAGGGAAAGGATAGTGAAGGGAAAGGAAGGGAAAAGGGGATAGGGAAAAGGGAAGGGAAAAGGGGATAGGGAAAAGGGGATAGGGAAAAGGGGATAGGGAAAAGGGGATAGGGAAAAGGGGAAGAGGAGGCAGATGGGAAAGGCAAAGAGAAACGGAAAGGGAAGACAAAGAGAGCAAACAGCTTAGAAGCACTGGATCTAACTCAACCCTAACACCTCCTGACCCTAGGAAAACCCAAAGGACCCTTGAGAAAACCCAAAAAACCCTCAAGAGCAGCCAACACATCTCCATTTCGCAGGTGGCCCTGGCCCAGGGCTGTGTGCAGGTGACCAGAGCCCAC